TATGTTGGGTCTATAATATATGACCTCAGCTCACAGGGTTTATTAACACCTACTTCTGCAGAGGTCCACAAACATACATGAGCACCCACAAAAGTGTTCGGCACTGGGCCGGGCTTGGGAGACCCCTGTCTGCCTCAGAGGTACAGAGTGTAAGTGGTAAAGGAGTAAAATCGAGCAATGACACTATTGGAACCACCATCCCCAGAGCGTTTGGGGTTCAGTTGGCATCATTGCTTCTGCAGGTGTCCAGAGAATTTGGCTTTTGATAAAGAAGCTGGAATTTGGGTTGGGCCCTGCAGGTGGTAAGATTTGAGAGAGCAAGAGGGATTTGCCAGGTTGAGCGAATAGACGTATCTGTCCCATGTAACACTGGGACATTTATGCTAGAATACGCATCGCCGTTAAAATTTCATTGGCCAATCCCACATTTTTCCAACAGTCCTACATGGAGGGGATTTTTAAGTGTAAGAGTGCACGTGCAAACATGCACGTTCAGGGAGCAGTGCGTAGGACAAGTGTGGTTGGTGGTGGAGGTGGTTCAGGCAGGAGTGGGAGGGTGGGCTGGGTAGGTGGCACCTGGTCATGGCCAGTGCGCCTCAGGCAGCTGCACACCCTCCCGCTCATTCTCCAACAGCAGCGTCGTTCTTTAAGAGCACTTTGTTTTTGATGAAGAAAAACAAGATAGAGAAAAATTAAATACAAAAATAGGGCCCAACTTGAGAGTTTATCCAGTAGGTGAAAATTAGACTTGCTAGGCTGAAGGGTCAGTCAGCCCCATCACGTCCCCGGTGCTTCCTGGAAGGGCAGATCACGTGCCATTCATGAACTCTGCGTGCCTTTCTGGGTTGTGCCATGATTTCCTGAAGTATAGGTCAGACTCCTTCTGAGGCCAGTTGGTGCCTCCATGGGCTTTATTATTATTTTTTTTAATAGAGGCATGCTTTATTTATTTGTTTGTTTTTTGTTTATACATGCACTGGGTACAGTCGGAAGCGCGGGAGGGTGAGAGAATTCACCAGAGCCAGAGCCAGAGCGGGGAGCAGAGCAGGCAGAAGGACCGAAGTACACTGCTGAGGGGAGCAGCGGGCGGCAGGAGAGGTCTGCGCACCATGTGGGACCCTCCTCCGGTGGCCGGGGAGCAGCCGGGGATCGAACCAGCGCTGCAGAGGCCGCGGGCAGCCTCGCAACCCAGCGCTCAACCGCTGCGCCACCAGGGAGGCCCCTCCATGGACTTTGAAAAGTTCAGGCACAAATCTGCAGGGACCTTAGCTGATACGCAAGGGCTGCACGCTGCTCAGAGGCCTGGCAGATGGATGCCCTCCCGATGCCTCTGCAGCTCAGTACCTGGCCGGAAGCTGGGGCATCCGTCCCTGATCAGGCAGGGACTGATTCCTGCTGTTGCCATGGCTGTGGTGGGTGGAGAGCTGCCTTGTTCAGATGACATGGAACGAGGAGCTCTGTGGCGAGAATTAAAGGGAACGTAGGCTGGGCCCTTGACAAGGCGCCTGGTGCCACAGCCCACCCTTGCGTGCTGCCTTGGTCAGTGTAGGGCTTGAAGAAACGCATCACAGAGTGGGAGGAGTCAGGTCCCCAGGACCCTATATTCTGACTTTAAAGTACCTGAACTGCTTGGATGCCATTTTTCTAGAGCAGTGGCTGCTGTGGCTTTTTATTTCACAAGTCAGAGACATTAAAACAAAATAAAAAAAAAGAAGAGTAGATCATCAGGCTACCAACCTTGAAAGCATATAAAATCCAGGATAAACCTGTGGATTTCTGGAGTTTAGGACATCACAATGCCAAAAATAAAAAAGGAATTCTCCAAATAAAGGGAGAACACAAATGACCGTCTGAACCCCACTCTGCCATTTGTAGCATGTCTGTTTCTGAGGTACTTGCACTGAAGCCGCGAGACTCTAGGCCATGCAATCTGTCTGCCAGGTCCACTGGCGTAGAGGCTAGTTAGGACCAGGCCAGCCCAGTCCCCAGGCCTCCTGATTCGCCACCCCGACCTGTCACTTGTGCTCCTTGGAAGCTCCAGCGCACCCACGTCACGATCTTACCCGAGCGTGTCAGGTGGGAGCCACGAGTGAGATTGGTCTCTGGTGGCCATCAGAGCTGAGCTGACAACAGTTTGGGTAAAGGTTCTTAGTGCACACCAATTTATTAACTTTATTTATTATTTTTTTAAATGATTTTTCATTTTCTTTTTTTTTTAAGATTTATTTATTTATTTATCCAAGCACTGGGTACAGTCAGAAGCATGGGAAGGTGAGAGAATTCACCAGAGCCAGAGCGGGGAGCAGAGCAGGCAGAAGGACCGAAGTACACTGCTGGGGGGAGCAGCGGGCGGCAGGGGCGGTCTGCGCGCCATGTGGGACCCTCGCCCGGTGGCGGGGGATTGAACCGGCACTGCAGAGGCTGCAGGCAGCTTCACAGCCCAGCGCTCAACCGCTGCACTACCGGGGAAGGCCCACCAATTTATTAACTTTAAAATGAAACAAATTGGCGCCTGGGAGGCACCACGTTCTCAGGCTTCTCTCCCTTCCTCCCACGTGTGGACACTTGTGTGTCCAGAATGGCTGCAGGCACTGAGGATACAGCAGTGGACAGGGCGGCAGCCCCTGCCCTTGTGGCATCAACACTCTTGAGACAGGCGACAAGACACAGCAGTACATGCCTGCTGGATAGGAGCGGACAGGCCTTTCTATCCCACTCCTATTTAGGGGAACTTAGCTGCAAGCAGCCTTACTGGCAGGAAAGGGGAAACAGCTGGCTCCAGGCAGGGCTGGGTTAATAAGAAGGACTGGCTTCTGCGGTCCATTTGCACCCGTCCCCAGAGGCAGTGCAGCGAGGTCAGGTGTGTTGCGTCTAAGACTGACAGACAGCAGGTACTGAAAACACAGGAGAGCAGACATGGCAGTGCAGCGGTTATTGGCACCCCCTCTGCTGGGCACTGGACTGCGTACCGAATGCATTATCTCATATGATCCACAAACCCATTGGATTGCTCTTGATTATCTACCAAATCTTAGTAGGGAAGTAAAGTGACTTGCCCAAGACCATCAGGCCAGTTAGTAGTTGAGTCAGGAAGCCTACTCCTCAAAGCCTGTTCTCTTGGTCTCTAAGAGAATCCTCTAATCTTATCCTCTAATCCAGGATAAACCGGACCAATAGTGTCAGCGCTCCAGCTGGTTAGAATGGGCTTCTTGGCAAAAGCCCGAACCAGCAGGCAGACCAAGGCGGCCGCCAAACAGAATACTCAGTGACCCTCGGGAGAGACGGGCTAGGCAGGCACAGAGGTGCTCGGCCGTGTCCTGGGCCAGGCAGACCACTTTCAGCTCCCAGCTACCTGGTGGAAGGGTCAGAATCTTATGTGCCTCGACCAGGACTGGCCTGACCAGGGTGGAGGCCAGGAAGGCATTATTTGCCACCAGACTGTGCCTTTACCCTGAAGGGCCCTTCCTCTCGCTGGCTGTAAAACCAGAGTGGCGGAACGGGCAGATTTCTCTCTCTCCTGCTTCTTGTGTGGGCCGTGGGCAACTAAATGACTCTGGACCTTGATTCTCTAATTTGTACAGTAGGAGACTGCTTGATTGCATCCCAGGATGCTTGTGAGCGCCACGCCACCGGTGCTGTGCAGGCAAAGGGCAGGCCCCTGGAGTGGTGGGGGTGGGGATTACCACTGTGTGGGGGTGGGGGTGGAAGGTACACCGGTACAGGTAAGTGTGGGTAAGTGTGGGAGGGGGTTCTGAAAACAGGCCGGTTACAGACGGGGCTTGTTGGTTTGTATGTCTCAGAGGCTAGACGATGGAGCGAGGTCGTGCCTAAGAAGCTGATTGCTTCACAGAGGTCAGAACCGCCGTGAGATGCAGGGCGGGCAGCGTCCCCTCTGTGCACAGCGCCTTACGCGCCGAGTCCCGGGCTCCCTGGGGGTTGGCAGCAGTGGAGGCCCACGCAGTCTGGGTCACAGTCCCTGTCTCTCTGGCCGGGGTAAGGGGCTTCCAGAGGAACCCAGACCTGCTGTAGCTGTGAGCCCCTCTGCTGAGCTACTTCTCTGGGTGTCTTTGCAGATAATTTAGCTCTTCCATTTGGAAGCCTCACTGGTGTCATTGGCAGCCACTTGCCTGGCTAACGAAATGGCGAGGACTCCATAACCCAGGCCTGTGAAATGAATAAGTCAACACACTGAAAATACAGTGTGGAAGTGACTCACCCTGAAGGAATTCACTTCTGAACCTGCCGCCATCCCTTCCTGGAATATTTTTGGGGAAATAGATGTTTGAGTTGGGAGGAGGTGGCAGCCAGCGGCCTGGTTACTAGCAGGGCCATGTGTCAAATTCAGTAGCATCTGCCCCGAATTCGGCCCTGTCCACTTCAGCCCATGGGGCTCTCCTCCTTAGCAAGGCAGCTCCAGGTGTGTCCCCTGAGATAACCCCACTAGGGAGCAGCTCTGAGGGATGCTGGTGTGAAGCTACCTTTGCAGCAGGTAAAGCTGACTCTGAGAGTGGCTGGTCCTGCTTGGCCAGGGGCCTAGAAAGTAGTGGAAACTCCACCCAGCATGAAAGCCCGTGGGAGTTCTCAGCACGGATGGGTTATTCTTTTCAGAGTTTTTTGGATTCCTGTGTGTTTAAGATGTTTACCTTCATCTCAGGACTTTAGCTGGTACTTGGCCCACCAGAGACCAGTCCCAAGTGTAGACAAACTTAAATGCTCTGGCTCACCCTGGTGACCAGGTAATTAAAGCTGTGCACGGTCTTGGAGGGAAGGCTGCACGGGGAACCACACTTCACTGTAATTCAAGAGCAGCTTTCTTTGTGGAGGGACAGAGTCAGTGTTAGACAGACACATGCGGAAAGAGAAGAACAGGCCCATAATTCTGGCAGGTACCGAGGCCAGATAGGATGTGCCAGCCATGACGGGTGTCGGTTGCGGTGAGCCGATCTGCATTGGATGCGCTGTTTTAACTCTGTGTCTGCCTTTTCCATTTTTTCTGCCAGGTCCCCAGTCTATGTGAAGATCTCCTGTCTTCTGTTGACCAGCCCCTGAAAATCGCCAGGGACAAGGTGGTGGGAAAGGATTACCTTTTGTGTGACTACAACAGAGACGGGGACTCCTATAGGTGAGCTGCTGCCTCCAGGATACGGTGGGCATGCCAGGAGTACATGGGCCAGGCACACCCTTACCACTGCCCTTGGCGGCACGAGGACCAGTGAATGGTGACAGACTGACAGCCCCTCAGCCTTCTGCCTGTACCCCTGCTGGCCCACCCCCCTCCCTCCCTTCCCTCCAGCCCGTAGATACTTGTGGAATGCCTCAAAACCCCTGAGCTGTTTCGCTGTGCTTGCACGGAGTCCTGAGACGGTGTGGTGCAGGCGTCCACATGGTGGGATCTTGAGGACAGGGAGGGTCTTGAGGACACTCGATGCAGCTCTGTCAAATCAGCATGCCACTCGATTTCTCTGCCCATCACCATGCTGAGGGCTGTAAATAACTGGTTGGCGTTAGTCCCTGCCCTGGGAGAACAGGAGATGCACCCAGCAACCCATTACTGTGTGGTGGGATTCATGCCACCAGGGCCCGCTTTGAGGTTTGGGGCTTGACAGTAGCACAGAAGAGACTGAAGTTGGTCCAGGAGGATTTCCAGAGGGAGGTGATAGCTGAGTTAGTTTTCTAAGGGTCTGTAGCCGTCCTTCCTATTTGAAAACAGGGGGAGTCCCTACACCAGTCTAGTGTGTGTGTGTGTGTGATGGATTGCTATAGTCAGTGCCTTAGAGAATGGCAATCTGCTATAGGTTTATTCAGAGGCCACAGAACCACAGCTGAGGCTTAAAGCTTCAACTCAGTGCTCTTTTCTGGAAGTTGGTATGAGCCTGAGCAGGAAAGCAGGAAAAAAAATACCTGGAGTCAGCTAACAGGGGCTCCAAACCAGAACCGCCCACTGTAGCGGTGGGGACTTTGAGAAATTACTTTATATCACTGGTTTTTAGTTCTGTCGTGTGTAAAATGGAAATTCTAACACTAAATAACACTGTTGGCCCTGAATGCATCATTCTCTTAAGTATGTGCTGTGTACGCCAGTGAGCCTCTTGCAGTGAGCCAGAGGAGCCAGGGAGTAGCGCACGTATGAGCCATGTAGACTGAAAAGCGGGTACAAGGCAGCGGGGAGTCAGTGAGTGAACAGACAGTGAAGTGGCAACCTGTGAAGTGATGCTTGAAGATGAAAACTGAAGCGCGCTGTGTGGAGGCCCTGGACGGCCCGGTGCGAGCCCGGCAGGAAGCCGGTGGGAGAGTCAGTGAGGTCAGGGCGAGCTGGGAGATGAGGTCAGAGGTGTGGTGGCTTGCGCAGGGCCTGAAGACAGGGTGAGGGGACTAGGACTTTGCGCGGGGCCGTTGGGGTGTGAAACGTGAACTGCTGAATAGCTCCGAACTTGGTGTAAATTGAAAAGATTTGCTCAGTAATGATCTTTTAAGAGACTAGACACCTAATCGTGTCCCACTTACACGTAGAAGTGGGTAGAGACTGAATTTTGACCTGACTCAGAGACGAGAAGTGGAGAGGCGTGAGGGGCAGTTGGAGGTGGGAGCGTTCGAAGATAGTCGGGGTGTCGGTGAAAGAGCAGGGCAGGGCCTGCACAACTGGAGCATGTTTATCATGGTGAGAGGATTCTAGGAGTTGCAGATTTGGGGACATTCTAAGCTTGAGATACCCATTAAGTGGAGTTGAGGTAAGTTTTTAGAGATTCCCATTGGGTGGAGGTAGACATGGCAAGTTGGCAGTGGATAGTCTCGAGTCCAGGAGGAGGTCGGGCAGAGATGGAGGTGCAGTCGTGAGAGCCCCTGCTTGAGGCAGCCCTGAGGCCAGGTGGCCAGCCTGGAAGGGCTTGTTCTGAGCCTAGCCCATGTCAGGGGAGTCGGACGAGGTCCGGTGCTCTGTGAGAGGTCCATCAGGATGCTAGGTGGTCTGACAAATGAGAACCCATCATCAAAGCACAGGCACCTTCGCTGGGCTTGGGGTTCAGTTCTAGGAGGCTTCTGGAAGAGGTTTTCCTTGAGCTGAGTGTTGCTTAATTAATATCCGTGTGATAGGTCTTTTCCACCTGGAAACTGCAGCTTGCTGTGGAAGGCAGCTGTTCCCAGTAGCCTGTGGAACGCTGGGATCGTGGCCATACCCATGCCAAGGCCAGGCTGCCCCGGGACTTGATACCTGCAGACTCTCCAGGTCCCCCCACCGGTTCCTGCCAGAGCTCCCAAGGGGTCACCTCAGCCGAAGCGGGGCCCAGGGTGTCATGCCAAAGGACATTCCTTTCCTTTTTCCCTTCTCGATATAAAACTTCAAGGCCTTTTGATTTTTTCCACACATTTCCATCCTAACTGTTTGATCGTTCACTTAAATAAGATCCTTATGGTGTGGCTGTTGCCAGCAGCACTGTTTGAAACCTGTTAGCTGAAACAAAAAGCATTCTCGGAGGGAAATGAAAGGCCTGACTTTTGAAATCTAAGCGTTCCTGTCCATCTGTCTTTTTTCAAATGGCTTCCATTTAAGCTCTTAAATGTGTTCTGAGTGCCCCTTCCACTAAGGATATTCTGGGTAATGTTATGATTTTTCCCCCAGCTACAATTACCCCGGCTCCGGGACTAAAGGCTTGAAATGCTGCCGTCTGTGAGCCAGGAGAAATGTGAGTTACAGGCTTCTTGAAAGTTCCAGGCCCCCAGTCTGCCGAGAAATGGGCTCTAGCGTCTGATCAGGTCGCCTTAAATGAAAGCCAGTTGGGGTGGGCCCTCCGGGCCCCCAGAAAGGCGAAGGCCGTTCACTGTGCGGGGCGTGCTTGAGAAGGGGAGTCTGAGGGGGCCACGCAGGGTGTGGGCAGATTCGGACTCTGCACCCAGAGCCACACCCCAGCCCAGTACGCAGGGGTGCTGGGCCTGGCTTCCCAGTAAACAGTGGTGGTGACAGCAAGAGGACTGAGCAAGAGGCCCAGTGGGCCTTTTTTAACCCTTAGGTGCTCCTGGGCAGAAAATGCTGAAAGTTGCTCTGTCTCTGTTGTTTCAGAGGGCACTAGCAGAAGTCCTGGGGGCCTTTCTTCCCACCCTGTGCTCTGAGCCTTCCGCCCACAGCCAGAACCCGCCCACACTGGTGCTGGACTGGGTTCTCAGGCATAAGGCAGGTAGCGCAGGCACCCGCCCCAGGGAGGCAAGGGCATTGGTTGCTTCTGCTTTATAGGGGCTGTGTAAGAATGTAATCAGTCCAGTGAGCATGTGCTTGAATGCCAGGCACCATTTTAGGTGCTGGGCAAATAATGCAGAACAAGCCACAAAAGACTTGGCCTCGTGAGCTTAGGTGCCACAGTTGATTATCTAAATATTAAGTGACTTTTATTTTTTTTAAAAAAGATTTATTTATGCATACAAGAACTGGGGTACAGGCCAGAGGTGCGGGGATGGTGGTGGTGAGAGGATTCACCAGAGACAGAGTGGGGAGCAGAATAGGTAGATCGACCGAAATATACTGCTGAGGGGAGCAGTGGGCGAGTCAGGAGAGGTCTGCTGTGCTGTGTGGGTAGCTATCTGGCCGGGGATCGAACTCGTGCCGCAGTGGCTGCGGATAGATTCAGAGGTTGCGTCTTAACCCCTTGAGCCACCAGGGAGGCCCGACTTTAATTTTAAATAAAACTAAAAATGCAGCCTCTCAGTTGCCCTAGCCTCAGTGCTCAGCAGCCACACAATGCTGCCATGGGGCCAGTGCAGGTCTGGGGTGCTTCCATCATGGGGGCAGGGGCTGTCAGGCAGTGCTGCTTTGAGGGGTGAACAAGATCTTCTGCAAGAATAGGAGTGGACATGCTGGCCTATGCTCGGGATGGTGGGGGGTGCTCAGGGGTAGGGTGCAAGGGTGCTCAGGCTGCCTTCACCCTGCTGTCCGAGCCAGAGGGGTCCTGGCAGATCAGAAGGCTCTTTCCAGCACTGTGTGCACAGTCCTACATGACCATGAGAGCAGCTGGTCACAGGGCAGAAGGGGGTGCTTCACCCCGTTCTTGCAGAGTCTACCAGCTCTGTGCTAAGTGGGGACCTGGAAAGAAGGGTTTCCACAGCCACCTTTGCTTTGAGGTAGTCCAGTCAGGGCATCTGCTGCTTGGGGTCCTGTAGGTAAAGATGGGGCATCTGTCCGAGGAGTCTCAGAGGAGAGGTCACCCAGCTTGCTTGCCTTGATTTGTTGACATTGGCGCCCCAATCACTTACCAAGAAGACAGATGTTTGTGCTCAGAATTAATTAAAACTGGGGATTGGGAATTGGAATTAGCCTTTTTCCCTTAACATCAATCCAAAATCATAGGTTCTCTGAGGCCTTGGTGGTTTGTTGTCAGTGGGCGGAGAGGCCCAGTGGATGTCTGCCAGGGCCGCAGGAGGTGTTTGTGCAGGCGTGCGAGTGACCGGGGCCTGCCTCCCCACTCCATATTGTCTGCTCCTTTTCATTCCTTTCACCTTTTTAATTCTTTTTTTTCCTCTGAGCCCACAGCTCTCTGAACTCCACCTGCAGGAATTAATGAGTACTTATTTCCTTCATAACCTCTTTCCAGTGCTCCCTGTGGTTAAATGTTTTCCTGATGTGGCAAGACACAGTTTAAGAAACCGGCAAGTCTTTGGGAAAAACCGGGCTGGTCTTCCGTGCCACACAGCCACGGTGTGCACCCCAGGGCGTGGGGGCACCTCTGTGCCCTGGAGACTGCTCGGCTTCATCTTACGTGTGGTCTTCATTTTCCACCGGGCGAGTCTCCTGCCTGCTTGCACACAGGCACCTCTCTTCCTAGTGAGGTCTTTGGAGTAAAAGTCTACCCAGAGCTGCCTGCAAGGAGAGGGTGCCTCTTGGCCAGTCCAGCTCCTTTGAAAACAAAGGGAGATTGAAGAAGGGAGTCACGTTTGGACATTTACGTGTGCCAGACTGTGGCCTCGATGCCCCCCCGCCCACCCCCTTCTCTGCTGCTCATCGCAGCCTTGTGGCAGCATGGTAGCTTCATTGGACATGAGGAAAGAGAGGCTCAAAGACATCTAGACACTTGCCGGGAGAGTGTGGCTGGTGATGGGTGGGGTTTGCCAGCTCCTGAGCCCTTGCTCTGCAGACCGTGAGAAGCTGTGTTTGGACCTGGGAAAATGTCTGCTCTGAGCCGTGGCTTTTCCTCTGAAATTCCAGCTAGCTGGACTGCAGCTCACAGCTCACAGGCTGTGTCTTCTGGAACAGCTCATGTTCTCTCCTCCTCCCCTCCAGATCACCATGGAGTAACAAGTATGACCCTCCCTTGGAAGATGGGGCCATGCCTTCCGCTCGGCTGAGAAAGCTGGAGGTGGAAGCCAACAATGCCTTTGACCAGTATCGAGACCTGTGAGTACCTCCTCCCGTTGCCCTTGATGCTTGGGGCTCTGCTGGGAAATTGAAGGAGCTCAAGCCCCAGCCTAGCTGTCTCCCTTGAACCCGTTACCTGGTTCCCCTGGGACTCAGGCGGCCCTGGCGGGGAGCCGGGCCTCACTTGGCGACGGGTCGGGGCGGCCTGCCTACGCCCGCCGTGTGCGGGGCGTATTCTCCACACATCTTGCTTCCTCACAGGTGTGACGGCTGTTTTGGCCCCTACTTTTCAGGTGAAAAAAATTAAAACTCAGAAAGACTTGGGTGTCCGAGGCAGGAGGCCGACTCAGACCTGTTGTCTCCGAGCCTTCCATGTGCACGGGACTCTTTTCTCGGCTGGGCAGCTGCTCCCGCACTGCGTGTCCTGCTGATTCCCGAGTCTGTGGGACTCAGCCCCTGCCTGCCTGCCTTGAGCTGGGCTTCTGCGGTGCCTGATTAGGGCCCTCTCCTTCGTGCTGCTGCCAGCCTGCCCCCACCACGCTCCCTCAGCCCGGCAGGAAAGGGCTCCAGGGCCTTCCTCTCAGAATCTCATTTTACATTAAAGTTCTGTACCAAAAATCCAGCAAACTATAAAATGTGCAATTCTACTAAAGTATAAATGCAGTCGCCTAGGAGGGGCAGCATGCTTTTCTGTAAAGGACCAGCTCATGAGCATTTTGGGCCCTGTCACTTCTTTTTTTTTTTTTTTTTAATATCACTCTTTAAAGGTATATAGAAAACACCCTTTGAGGTGGGTGGGATTTAGCCCTCCCCTGTAGTTTGCAAGAAAATGGAAGTGAAGCAAAGCCTCTGAACAGCTGAAGCAGTTAGAATCCCAGGCCTCCGCTTTGCGGACAGTGGGGACAGTCCTCCAGTTATTTGATATAACATGTTAAATCAAGAAACTCTTAGGAAAAAAATAAACTTCCCTTGGAAGCTGGTTGGGGGAAAGTGGCACTTTTGACCTAAGACATGACAGAAACACCAAACCCACCTAAGAGAGCATGTGTTTTGCGCCGCTCCCCACTCTCCAGCCCTGCACGCCCCCATCTCGAGGGTCCCTGTGGTCACTGTGCCTTCAGTGTCCCTCATGCGCCAGTGGTTCAGTCACGTCTTGCGCTATTCCTTGCGAGATGTCTGGGGTGGCTGGGGGCGAGGGCAGGGGAGGCCTGTGACCCCGCAGAGGTGGCGGGGTGCCATGTTCCCCAGTGACTGCAGCCACGGCACCCGAGGGTGGTCTGTCCTGGGCCCCCACCAGTGCAGTCAGAGTGGGCTGAGGAGTCCTCCTGAGGCCACATGGAGGAACTCTTGTCCAGCCAGACCACACATGAAGAGCCAGCCCATTTCTGAAAATTATGGAACCAAATCTCCTTTTTCTTTATTTAAAAAGTGCTCGTGCACTGCTCTGCTCCAGGAGGCCCCTGGGAGTTGCTCATGGAGCCGAGGGAGGCGACCGGGGGGCCTTGCCTGTGCCCATGCCCTAGGCCATGCAGCCCAGCCGTCACTTGGGTCTTCCAGGGACCAGGTTGCTCCCTGGGGTGTGAGGGCAGCAGCCTGGTCTCCTCTACTACTCCCTTGCTCCCTGACTCGCCGTTGGGGCCGCTGCATCCCTGCCTCCGGGGAGGGCGTCCCAGAGCCCTTGCAGGAGTTGTCTCCTTGTCTCCCCTCGTGTTGGGGGGCCTCCTTGTCTCCCCTCGCATTGGGGAGCCTCTCTCACACGCTCCTCCTGTCTCAGGTTACTCAGCTGCTGCTTGAGAGGTGGGGAGGGTTACCTGCGTCTGGGGGAGACACCAGAAAGTGAGGTGGTGACTGAAGATGCCGCTGGCCAAGCAAAACTGCCTTTCCAAGTGCCCCATTCCACACAGCTTGGCCTGCACCCCACACACCTCCCAGCCCTGCTTTCACTCCTGGCAACCCCTGACATTTCTGAAGTCTTGGGTCCCGAGGGACCACAGCTCGGACTGGGTTTGACTTGTGCTCAGGCCCCTTGACTCCTCACCCCCTCAAAGTGGCCGGGCTGCAGCCATCAGGCTCGGAGCCCTCTTGGTGTGAGAACCCTGTGCATTAAGGGGTCTCTGGGGAACTTCTGCATTTGTCGACCACTAGCGGGAAGGACCCTGATTTTCTACTGGAAGGACTGCTGAACTCAGGTGCTGGAGAGTTGACCAGAAACAAAACAATAAGAGAGATCCGGGTACTTTTTCCTGCCGGCCCCATTGACTTAGGGCAGAGGCTGAAGTTGCCCTCCAGCAAGCAAGCAGGCAGGCCCCACTCCTGGCGAACAGTGCTGCCTGCGTGCACGGGAGTGAGAGCAGCTTCTTGGGACCCTTCCCTCTGCTCATGCGGGCCCATTAGCCTTGTCCTTCCTCCTTGATAAGATGAGCAGGAGGAGGCACCAGCACAACAGACTGCAGCGGGTGCTTGGAGACTTCCATTGGAAACCTGATCGAAGCCAGGCCTCCAGAGCCGCCCTGGCCTTTCCAGAGCGGGAGAGCGCACTGTGTCCCCGGAGGCTTCTCTCTGCCATGAGAGATAAAATCTTCATCAGCATCCTGAGGGAAAGGCTTGGATTCTATCCCCGGGCTCTGGGCTTTGATCCCCTGGTCTGCAAAGGCTTTGACTTTGCAGGGAATTAGAATTAATCATCAGCACATGGATTTGGTATGGCCAGAGCGAGGGGGCCGGCGCTGGGGCTGACTGGGCCCCTCCCCGCACTCTGCATTCTCCACCCCCGTGGTCAGCAGCGAGCGTGCCCCGGGAGAGGAGCCACATGCCCCAAGTGATCCGCCGGAGTGTCTCATAGTTTCCTGTACCCCTTCCTCCCCACCCCCATCTCACGCAATTTTGATGAACTTTTTTTGTATCAGTGGCTGAAAGAGATCTTGGTGGTACCTTTACCCCACAAGAATAACTACCAAGCAGCTGTTGCTGGCATGACCCAGACTACCCTGCTTTTAGATTAAAATAGCAAATTTGCTGAGTGTGTTTAGGAGGGTGGGCCTGTTTTGATGCAGTGCTGGGCTGGGTGGGGTCAGCTGCCCCAAGTCATCTTGAATTTACTCACTTCCCTTCCCCGGCCTTCCCAGCCTGGTTGCCAGCGACTCACTTAACCAGCCCCCAAGATGGTTTCTACTTCTTATCCCTGGGCCTGGCTTGGTCCTGGGAATGTCATTAGAGCCTCGTACCCAGAGCGTGGAGCCTGCCAGCTCTTGGGTGGCTAGCTCACAGGATCACTTCTCGATCCTACTTGGCAAGTTGACTGCTCTTTTTAGGCCCCAGTCTAGGATCGCTCATCAGTCCCAGAACCTCATGCCTCGACCTCCTTTTCTTGGAAAGGACTTCCGGTGGCGCCTTGGGTGTAGACTGGGCTCTTGTAGCTGCCAGGGAAGCATCCTCCTTGAGGTTGGAGCTCCGTTGGCTGCCTTGAATCCCAAGATCAGCGCTTTGATTTTTGAGGTCCCTAGAGAAGAAAGACCTTCGCTGCTCTGGCTTTTGCCTTGGGTCTCGGCACCGCCACTGTGGCCAGGCTCTGCCGAGACCAGATGCGCTAACTGAAGGGCTGGCGCTGCTCGCTTCCGAGCATGATTGCTCCCAGCTGCGCCAGCCGTCGTGCCCGCGCGCTGTGATCCTCGCGCTGGGCTTGCGGCAGATAATACCTTCAAACATGCGGTTGTAATTTATTGGCCTCATAAGTTAATTTTAGTGGGTGTGCAATTGATTGAAATCAAAGCTTAATGAAGGCCAGAGTCTGGGGGGGAGGAGCAGGGTGGGAAAGCATTCTGTGTTCTTCCTTGCTTCGGGTCTGAGATAATCTTCAAACGCTTTAATTAGCTTTTCTAATCAGCCCTTCTTGTCTGGAAGAAGTTTACAGAGTGAGATGAAGCTGGCGCCCCTGTGGAGCCCCACGAGTGGCCAGAGTGACTGTCCGTGGGCCTCCCCCGCTCCCTGCCGCGCTCCCCTTCCGGGGCATGTTAGATTTGCGGCCGACTAAGATCCTTCCCTCCACTCTCTGTCTTTGCCAGATGACATTTGAACAACATGAGCCTAGGAAGGGATGAGGCAGCCATAGTTGTGCATGAAAAAGAAGTGTTGCCTGTTTCCTGGGTCCTGGAAACTCCATGCTCCTGCTGCCTTCCAGACCTGGGCCCATGGGGCTCCGCTTTCCATGGACGAGAGTACTGAGTCTGGGGAACGTTAGTGTTTCAGCGCTGGTGGTGTTGGCGAGGCAGTGGAGAGCTGGTGGGGTGGGCCTGGCAGAAATGGGAAGCAGGAAGCTTGGTGGGTGGGGCCACCCAGACAAGAGGCACAGACACTGTGCCTCCCAGCTTCAGTCTCCGACACCATGGCTGTCCAGGCTAGACAATAGAACCAACCAAGTCCTTGGGCTGGAAGAGACTGGACTTGCGTAAGGAAAATGGAGTGGCTCGGGCTGTTTTTTGCTTTCCCACTGTTAGCCTCTGTGGCTGCCATCTGTGGCCTTGCTTTCTTCCCAGGTTTCACTGCCCCCACCCGTGATGCTGTGTTATTGCAGAAAGCACTGAGGAGCGTGAGCACGGGTGCTGGTACCTATGAGTACTGGGTGGAGAGCATGGGAAATAAGAGAAGCCAGAGAGAGCATGGAGAATGCAGGGGCTGGGAGGCTGTCTGTCTGTCTGTGTCTCCCAGCCCGCTGGTCTGCCTGTGCCTGGTCCCTTGCTTAAGCATCAAAAGCCTGCCACATCTACCAAGGGCTCTAAGATCCTTTATCCATTTGCCTACCCAGGGACGCTTTGCACCAGCAACTTGATTCTGTTCTGCCCTTACTCCCACTGAATGTGGGCAAGTGAGAGGCTTTATGAGCCTTTGTCTCCTTACCGCTCATCCTGGAGGCACTGGGGTGCAGGGGCGGGAGTGGAGTGCTGTGCACAGGGTGGCTCTTGCACTGGCTTGTCATGTCCACTCGGAACTCTTAGCTGTCGGTGCAGCAGGCTCATCTGATCTTCACTGGTCATCTGTGTGGG